TTCAGAGACATCATGGTTGGTACACCACACACACCGGAGAGCAGCGGTGTTAGCGATGATGAGATTCGCCGTATGATTCATGACGAGATGACCGCGGCGATCCGGAAGGCTAATCCGGAGGATGATAAGTAGCGGATTGAGAAGTGATGACATGGTTCGAGTACCATGATAAGTAGCGGATTGAGAAGTAGCGTTATGGTTCGAGTACCATGAGTTGTAGCAGGTCGAGAGGTGATGTCATGGTTCGAGTGCCATGATGTGAGGTGGAATGCGAAGAGGGAACATGGTTCGAGTACCATGATTCGTAGAAGATTAAGAGGAGATAACATGGTGCAGGTACCATGATTCATAGCAGATCGAGAGGTGGCCACGCGGTTTGAGTACCATGACATGTGGCGGATAGTATTTCTGGTTTTTACCGGTTATTCCGTGGGAATTGTCTAGACTGAGATCAGAGGTGAATGAGTATGGGGCCAGAGGGCCTTGATGAACAAGTTTTAGTGGAGCATCCCTTGAAAAGGGAAATCGAGTGAGCTCCGAGGGATTTTGGGTGATATGCTAGTTGGAGTCGCAAGACTCAGGGATGAGTCGGGATGGTGCATTATGGGAGAATACGGTCTGGGCTGGGCAATCGGCCGATAGTGGAGAGGTCACTTTCTGTGACCCGAGTGGTGTTATTTCCGTTTCCTGTGGGAGACGTAAAAGGTGATGAGATTTCGGTTTTCGAGTTTGGGGGTGATCCCTGTAGGATTGCACGGATGGTGATCTCCAACCAGAGTATATGGCAGTAGGTCTGCCGCAAGGTAAAGATATAGCTTGAACAGGTCGTCAGTGGGGACTGAGATGGTCGAGGACCAGGATACACACTAATTGAGTATAGTAGGGTATGTGTTAGCTGCAGCGTCGGACGATCAAGAGGAGTATATCAGGGCGGTGACCCTTATTGTCTTTGATGGGTATTAAGGGTGGAAAAATGGTTTCTGCTCTTATGATAAGTGACGTGATGGAACGTTGGTTGAGGAGTCGATGATGAGGAGTACGGTAGATCATTACTTCCAGACTAAGAGTCAGGGTTAATACTGGACAGTTGGGAGGTCCGGTGATGGAATGACGTGAGATTCTGAATGACTAAAGGCAGTCATGGTGGGAAGTTCTGAGGATTTCATCTGAGTTTCAGGGCATCGGGAGTTGCTCGATCTCTGTCGGGAGATCATCGAGCGTTGCGTAGCACCTTCCAAGAGTAGGTGCGATGACTACTGGTGGAATCAGTCGGTGTGATGGATTGCTGGTGCGCCGATTAGGGATAGTTCGAACCCTAAGTGGGGGAGAACCGGGTATTTTAATGAGGGGATCAGAGATTCGATCGAGAATGGTTAGAGCTCTGGATATAGAGACCGGCGGTGCGAATTCATTGAGCCCAAGGTTGTTGGTGATTGAGACGAGGTGCAGAGTGAGATAAATAACACCAAGAACACACTAGTTCTTTGGGCCGTGAACACCCCCTTCAAGCTTCAAAACGTAAGTATCCTTTCTATATACTAGTTTTACATTAGAAGCTATTGAATTACACCCTTGAAACTAACCACTTTAGCTTAATAATCAAGAGTTTCGACCATAGCATCTCCTTTGGCCGTAAACCCTTCTCAAGAACATCAATGGCCGTGAACATACTTGGCCGTAAACCCTAGCTTCTTCTTGTGTTGGCCGTAAACTCCCATGGCCGTAAACTCCTTGGCCGTAAACTCCTTGGTCGTAAACACCTTGGCCGTAAACACACTTATGTGGCCGTAAACCCCTTTAGTGCAATCATATGTGATTGTAACACTTCATTCTAAGTGTTTCCTAGTCCCTAAGAGGGTTCCCTTTTCATGATTAGTTGTTGTATACACTAATTATATCCATATATGTGTCACTATATGCTTAATAGGATCCGTTTATGCTCGAGACTTCACTTGACACTCAGTTTCCTATATCGATCTTACATTCGAACCACTCACTACAGGTGAGTTCATACCCTTAACTTATCTTTTAAATGATTTTAAATGCTTTTATGGGGGAGAATACAAGTAGAAAACATTATAGTTATTATATCAATCACATGTGATTAATAACTACCAATCAAGTAGATTTCTTATTCTTCAAAACTGTGTTATCAAAATGTTTCAAAAACCTTTTTATAAACTGACATCAAGTCATCTATAGCCATTCAAATGGTTAAAACTCTTTTATATGTTAAATTCTTTATTAAACTCTTTTAAACTTATATATTGTCAAAATCATGTCTATATGGATATAGTTATATAAATAAGGTTGAAAGGGCTTAGGACTAATAACTCGCATTATTTCCTGTTCCTTGTTTGGTTGTGGACTTAGGGTATTCGGTTGTTTGTCCGAATGTCGTTTGGATCTTAGTTATATATTATGTATATGTATATAGATATAAAAGTTCTTTCTTTCAGTTCAATACCTTTGGGTAGCAAAGGTGTTCAAACATAATCAGTCATTCAAACAACTTTACTAGTAAACTATAATTGGTAGAGTTTAGGAAGTCACTACTTACTATTTCTAGAACAATGAAACATACAAGAGTCAGTTCAAACATACTATAATGAGAAATAGAGAGAACATATTATACACTAGAACAGAGAGAACATACTATATACTAGAAACAGAGAAAATATACTACACTAATACAATAACAAGATAACATTTATGTGAGCCACTACTTCATGGCGCGACAATGTACTGTCGTGTCACGTTTTGTAACCAGAGTCTCCTGGAGGGAGAGCGTGAATTTGTGTATAGATCTATACGGGATTGACCATCCTACACCTTGCTGCTAGCTACAGTGGGACCTACAGGTCTACGGGTGATGAATGTCATACCATTTCGGCGTCTCGAACGTCGTATCTTACTAGTCAATCAAGTATGGTTATAATCTCATCACATTTTACCTTAATTAAACAAACAGTTTAAGGTAGTTAGTACATCTGTAGTTACTTATATACAATACTACTATACATCGTCATTTTCCCATTACATTTATATTGTGATCTTCTCACATAAACGGTAATGTAAACTATACTTTGGTAATGATAGTCATACTTGGGAAAAACAATCACTTTTACAAAAGAACAAACTTACAAAACAGTTGAGTCTTGGTAGAAGGCTACTTTAGTAGAAAATATAGGATTTTCTAGGAAGTATTCAAAACATTTACAACAAACACTCACAAACTTTTACATCAAACATTTACAAACACTTTCATCAAACTTATACAATCAATGACATTAAATACTTATGAACTCACCAGCTTTAATGCTGATCTACGCTTTCAAAATAACTTGTATTCTCAGGTCACTAGTAGACATGTACCGATGACCAGGTTTTGAGAAGACGGAGCACGTTCAAGACTCGTCTCTTTATTTTGATTTATATTTTGGTGTCTTATAAATTATACAGAACACACTTGTATTAAAATTATATTATTAATGCAATGGATGATGTTGTTGCTTGTTTTACTATTATGCATTGTTATGATACTGTACATGACATCCTCCGCCCCCGAACGTTTCCGCCGTTCTGTTTTGGGGGTGTGACATTATTTAGTATGGTTATAACGACTCACTTAGAGGAATTAACATTATGAAATTTACGAGAGACCATTCTCTTTTCTCTTTGGATTACTGAACATACTCGCGCCAGTACTCGACCTCGGGGGTTGACTTACTAGCATTCTCTTTTTTACAGGCAACATAGGGTTGTCTGGGGGCATTCTCTTTACATTATCTTCATTCACTTTTGGCATTCTATCAAACAATAACACACATGCATTAATACAAGATCGGACACAAACATACTAAACAATTTTAAGAAAATACAGGATTTTCTTGTGATTACAAAGCTGTACAAATCATTTTTCTCAAACATGCTTATGAACTCACCAACATTTTTATGTTGACCTTTTTAAATTAACTTGTATTCTCAGGAAACCGTTGAAGCAAGTTGAGCTGAACAATCTAATAGATGTGTTGTTATATTTTGTTTCATCATACTTATATTATTTTGGCATGTAATATTTAAACACAATACTCGATGTAAACAATGTATGTTGTTATATTACATGTGTGAGGATGATGATGTTATGTTTCAATTATATACTATGTGATGATACTACAAGGATAAAGTCACGTACAAGCTCCCGGACGTTTCCGCCGTCTGGTTCGGAGGTGTGACATAATTGGAGCACGTATACAAAGTCCAACTGACTTGGAACTAATCAATATACAGGTTGATGCCGCTTTTCCCCTTCCCTAGAGGTGTAGTGTAATTACACAAGTGCAATCCATGCTTGCTTTTTACTGAATCACTGCATATGACTGGATTTTGAATCTTTGGAAAGGAGTTGGTTCTCCTTCTAAAGAAATGACATCAAACATGGTAATTGTAGCTTCTTATGATGAAACTGATATGATCTGGGTTTTGGTACATCAAAAGTAGAATGTTATAATTGGGCTTTCCAAAGTACAATGTCCAGATAAGAAAAAAGTTGTTTCGGGCGAAGCACGGGCTTCTTTCCTAGTTATTCCATAAAACTTGAAATCAAAACAATAGCAACAAATATGTTTATCATGAGCATCCTCAGATTAAATTAAAAGCTAGCATATTTGATAAAAAAAAATTTAGCTAGAAAAAACTCCCCTTTCTTGTTGCCTGTGTTTGATGTGTAGCCCAAATAACAGAAATCAGCCCACAAAAAGATGAAGTTAGCCCAACATACCTCTTAACTAGTCTGCGTGCGTGCCCTACCTTCGTCTTCGTTCTTCCTTTTTTTTTCTTCTTCGACAGGAGCCAATTGCGTTCTCTCACTTCAAACGATCACAACCCCAAAATCCACCAGGTTCGATCCTCCTTTTTCTTTATTTTTTCGGCAGAATTGGTGATTATTGGTGGTTTGGCGTGGTTAACGGAGGTGTAAGGGTGGTTTTCGGTGGTGGCTGATGAATGGAGAAGGGTGGTACTTGGTGGTGTTTTTGGGTGGTGTTGTGCAGGTAAATAGCAGGGGACGATGGTGGGGGTTTGGTGATTGTGTAAGCTGTGTTTTATGGAGATAATGGTGGATGAAGGCTAATCAGGGATGTTCTTCACACCAAATTTTGGACCTCATCCGCATAGCTTTTTGCAAACCATATTGAGCAGATTTGGAGTTTAATTCGATACAGATAGTAAAATACCTATCAATTTAAGGAGTTATTTCATAACAGCCAATGGACCAAATCAAAAACTTTTAAATATATGTCAAATAGTGAGTTACCCAGACCCATACTCACATACCCATACTCAGATTTGGAGTGCTGCTTGTTTTACCTAGGAACGGTTCCATTTTAATACATCGCTGAGCGAAAACTTTGACGCCCATTGCCCTTTTCCCCTCGTTCCAGCGACATCTCCACCCTCTTCATCCCTTCCCTGGCACCGGCGCCGCCCTCCTCCTTCCCAGCTGCCACCGGCGCCGCCGTCTTATTTCCCCACAACAGCGATCAGAAATAGAATCAGGAGAAACCTAAGCTATCAATTATCTCAGGCACGTCTTGCAGTCTTATTGAAGTTCTCCACGGCTTTAACTTATTACAATTTGCATTTTCAGGGTTCCGACTTCCGAAACCCTAACACCTTCAAAGACGAGTATTCATCTCCACTTTTCTTTTGCTCTTTTCATAGGGTACGTACGCCTACATAGCTCAAATCTTTCAGTTCGGTTTATCAAACATTAGGCCTTCTGCTTTTCCATGCTTAGTTCGGTTTAACAACCATGGTGTTGTGATTTCTATATAATGCTTTGTGTTCTTTTTCGTATAGATGTGATTCTAACTCTCACTTCTACGATTGTTGTCCAGATACATATAACTTCTAATACATCAAAGAGGAAGCAATCAGTTTGATAGATTGGTTCACTCCATATCATGTAAGTCCTGCTTTATTTTATCCAATCCTCCTGTAAATCATACATAAAACATGAAACAATCAGTTTGATAGATTGTTTAACCAGGCTTTCTGTGTTTTTAACCAATTAGGAGAGGGGTAAAATTGGAACTTCGGTGTCCCCAACGTGTTCATGGGATCATAGCTGATCCACAAATTGACTGGAGTTTTGATGAACTTCTATCAGAGCTTAATGCTGTTGATCACAAACTTCAAGCATCCTCATTGGTCCCTTTACCTTTCTCCAAAACACATTCAAGGTACTATGTTATATCATCTTATGAGATCATTTGTAACTTCTTAATAAATGGTTTTCTTTTATTATTGTCAAACTAAGGAGTTTCTTCTTGCAGTGATCTTTCAGTTGTAGTCCATGCTGAAAAAAACAGAAAGTCCTTTGTGATGCATGTATCAGATGATGATGATGATGATGATGTGGTTAATGGTGGTCGTTTTGGTTGTGATGAAATTTATTTAAGGTAATTTTTTTTTACAAAACCTCTTACTACTACAGTATTGTACTTATAAATATTTGTATTTACTAGCATATGTGGCAATGTTTGTTCAGCGATGATGTGGATTCAGACAGTGATTCATCAACTGGAGCCCAGTGTTCTCTAATGGACAAAGGGGGAGTTATTGAAGGTGCATTGATTGAGCTAAGCCATGAACACCAGCTTAGTGTTGCAGTATGTTTTTATTACTTTTAATTCTTTATGCAGTGTTTGTTATGATGGAATCATGAACGGAATGGAATAGTCCATTCCGTTGTTTGTTTAATGGAATGTAATGGAATGAAAGTTTGTTCTATTCCATTCCATATTTCCATCCAACCAAACACATTACACATTACACACTCTTTCTCTTTTGTTTTTCACAATGTTGCCACATACATTCAATAACAAATTTCCTCTTCTATAATCTTCAATAATCAGGAAGAAATAAGAACCCGAATATCTGCATTTGGAACTGATTTTACAAATGAAAAAGAAAAACTCACCAATGCACTTTCTCGAGCTGAAAAGAGTAAAGAAGCAAGAAGGGAATTGGATAGAAAACGTGATTTGCAATATCAACGCATAATGTAAGATCTTAAATACCTTTTAAAACTTTAAATTTTAGAGTTTTTTTTATATATATTTTAATTTTTTTAGTGCAGAAGCACTGGATAATCATCTGACTGATGTTCAAAGACACCATGAATACAAATCTCAAATAGAAGAGAAAAAGATACGCGATGATGCTGCAATTGAAGAGGCCAAAAGAAAGCAGAAAGCTCTTCAAGAAGAAAAAGTTCGACAAGAAAAAATGAAATCAGAAGAGGTTTTGTAAAAAAAAATAATATCATATCCATCTCAATAAATGTTGATTTTTATTTTTTCTAATTTCTTTTATGTTGTGTGAAGGCCAAGAGACAAGCTGAAAAGAAGAGAGAAGAAGAAATCAAAGCCAAAGCCAAAGCCAAAGCATTGGAAGATGAAAGAGCTGCAAAAGAAGCAGCTATTATGTCAATGGCAGAAAGTCAAAGAAAGGCTGCTGAGGCTTTGACTGCTTCCAAGGAACTAAATAAACCATCTTCTGGTAAATATATATTTCTTTTAGCTTGGTTATTTTAATTATGTTAAAGAATCTTGTTTACTTTATTGAGTTTATTGCAGGAAATGTAGTCAAGGGTGCTGAGAGTGGTTTAAAAATGGAGGAAAGAAGGGTACAAATGTACAAAGAAGTGGTTGGAAAAGATGTGGTATCTGAAATGGATTCTAATAAGGTTTCTTTTATGCATATTTTTGTTTTTTCCTTTTGGGTATTTTTATATACTTGTACATTAACATTTTTTTATTTTTTTTATTTTTTTTTGTGTGTGTGAAGGAATACCGAAGTCATGGTATGCAAATGGCTAGACGCATCAAAACCATAACTGGGACAAAAGAGAATGTGAGGTGTGGATTTATTTTTCTATGAATGATAATTAGTTTTATTTGATTTTATTAAACCATATTTGGATTTTTTTTTTTAAACTTTTAATTCTGTTGGGATAGAACAAAAGCAGATGAATTGGTGAAACTCATGAATTCAACCTTTCCTCAATCCATCAATATTGGGATCTTTGCAGATAAAGTAAGCTCCTTTTTTTTTTTTTTTTCTTTTCTTTTTCTCATTAAGTTCTATATGAATAAAATATTGTATTATGGATAAATAAATTTTCAAACTATTTGAGAAAATGACAGATTGTCTCTCAAAGCACAAACGCAAGCAGCAACAGTGTCCTATATGGTTATGGACATGTCATTGTCATGGTTACTTCAAAGGTAAAAAAACATAATATATTTTTTCCTCTTATAGTTGATTAAAAATAATAAAATATTAAATGTATTTGGGTTTGATGAATCTAGATTCCACATGCCATGGAAATACTACTTGCGAAATTAAACAAAGTTTGCATCTTCACAGTTCCAAAGTATTTGAGTTACTCAGAGGTCAGTTTCCACCTTTATCCTTTTTGTTAAACTCTTCTTACAAGATTACCACTTAAATATACAAAATTATTATTATTATTATTATTTTTTTCAGGGGGCTTTCGAATCTAGAGAAGCATACTACAGAGCCATTGGTTATGAAGAAGAAGATGGAAAACTTGAAAGTACAGATACTTATGTAGGAAGGTTAACCCAACACATGAAACTATATGCAGCTCTAATTCAGGTTTCCAACAATCAATATGAACTTTCTTTTATTTTATTTATTTATTGCTAAAAAGAAAAAAAAAATTGCTTTAAAAAATTTCAGACTGAAGTTGATGGATTCCGAAATTTGCATGGAATTGAAGAAGGTTGGAAATGGCTTGCCAGATTTTTAAATGCTCTCCCCGCAAATATATACACCGGAGTTGCTCTTCAAGCATTCATCGAGGTTAGTTAGTTTCATGGAATGGAATAATCTATTCCATTCCTTCCTCTATGATTCCATTCCATTGTATGTACCAAACTGATTTTCTAACTATTTCCATTCTCAGTTGGCGGGGTTTGGTATGTACAAAAGATATAAAAACCAGTTCAAGAAGCTATTAAACATAATATCCCAAGACTTTCTAAAAGCATTAAAGGAAAGAGAAGATCCAAAAGTGACAAAAGTTGTGATAAGTTTAGAAAATTACATCCAATCAAACCAGTTCTTAAAGGAACCAGAAGGATGGCGTTTGCAAGATTCATTACTATCACATGGATTTGTCCCTAATGAATCCGATGATCAACAACAGTATTATAGTAATAACAACTCATCGGGGGGATATGGATACAAAGGCCATCAACAACAATACAATTATAATTCACCTAATAGGTATGTTTATCAGCGCTAGACTAAATTGTCAAGATCTGTATTTTTTTTATATGAGATACAAGAATCTTGATTCAACATTACAAATTTATTTGTTACAAATGAATTGTAATTCATTTATAGTTTAATCGAATAGATCTCTATATATGGGTTTTGTTTTTTTATCTCTAATAAGTAAAATGGGAAAAAAAGAATTTAGGGTGGAGTATAATTTTTGTGTATGTAATTTGTTAAATTGCAAATTTTTGTGAATATGATAAGTATGCTGATTTTTAAATAATAGTTCTCGAACTTCTATGTAAAAAATGTTTTCTATTTTTTATTTTTTTTTAAAAAAGAAATTAAGAAAAAACCTCATAAATGGTTTATGGTCATTGGGTAATGAAATGACGAAAATGCCTTTGACGTAACGGACAAATACTGACGGAGTGATCCATAAGGACTAAACATGAAAAGTTTTGAAACCACATGGACCATTCATGAGGTTTTTTAAAGTTATGGATGAAACTTCAGATTTTGTGAAACCACAGGGACCCTTTATGAAGTTTTGTCTAAATTAAATAAACTATTATTTGTAAATATGTAAAAAAGAAAAAATTGTCAACAATATATATGCATGTAATGATGCTCGTTTATTCATTTGACATCACTAAACAAAATTTGTTAAACGTTTTAAAGACAGAGGGCGTGTTTGGCACGGAGCTTTTGGGAGCGTTTGAAAGCTTCTAGCTAGCTTCTAGTGTTTGACAAAACGCTCCGTTTTGAGCAGAAAGCATTGTTTGACACTACAAGCTTCTAGCGTTTAGTTTAAACAAAACGCTCCAAATTCAAATGCTACTTCATGTAGCGTTTAACAAAACACTACAAGCTATAAGCTACCCGCTACAAGCTACCCGCTACCAGCTAATTTTGCCGACCACGCCCATCTTCTCTAACTTCTAAATTACTGCACCATACGAAGTTTAACTCTCAACCATTTAGGTAGAGTTGGGCTATAAGTTTTTTGTTTTGTTAAACATAAAAAAACAGTTTATTAATTTATCGTTTTTTATATTATATAAACTAATTGTGAGACTCATGTATTAGACTCGAGGGAGTAAGAGAGAAACTTTTCCTCACTTTTTGTGGGCCACATCACCATTTACCTCACTTTCCTTTCTCTCACCTAAACCCAAGGAATGGGTGAGAAGCTTCCCTCACTATTTTGTTTTTTATTTTTTTAAATAAAATTAGTTCTTTTTTATGATTTATAATTTTTAAATTAATAATAAATATAAATTTTAATTAAAAATAAAAAGCATTTCATTAACTAAAATAAAAATTACATCAAAACCTAATATTTAAATAAGTAGAAAATTAAAAAAAAAAAAACGCATACAAAAAATCAAACAAAACCACAACATAGAAAACATAATTAATATCCTAATTTGAAAAAAACCAAAATACATCACTCGGAATCATCGTCTTCGTCATCGACCTCATCGTCTTCATCATTCTCCCGAACGTCACTCTCGTCATCGGAATCTTCGCTCTCGACGAACATATCAGAATCCTCGTCTGATTTTGTCAAACAAATCATCGTGAGAAAACTCTATCGGCGGCTGAATATGAGTCTTATAAACGTGGTCCACCAAATCAGCATGAAGGGCGTGATGAATGTCGCGATTGTGTACTTCTCTTCTATTTTCCCTATACTCTTGTGTACCAACGGCTACTCCTTCGATATTTGGCAAAACTTCATTTTCGTTGTACCGACATATCGCTCTTCCTTCATCTTCAAGAATCATATTATGCAATATGATACATGCATACATTACGTGTTGTAACATTTTCACTTCATATGACCTTGCCCCGACTGCTAGTACTTGCCAACGTCTCTTAAGTACACCAAATGTTCGCTCCACATCCTTCCTAGCTGAATCTTGCGCCTCTTTAAACTTTTTCCTTTTCGGGTCGTTAGGACATGTAAACGATTTCTCAAAAACAGACAATGGATGATATATACCGTCAGTAAGATAGTATCCACGCTTATATGCTACCCCATTTGCTTGAAAAGGTACATCGTGCGACTTTCCAAGGTAGATATCGTTGAATACCGGCGACTGGTCTAGCACATTGATGTCATTGTTTGCACCAGCTGGACCAAAAAATGCATGCCATATCCAAAGATCATGTGATGCGATAGCCTCTAAAACGATCGTCGCTTTTTGTGGTCGCCTCTCATATACCGACCACGCCATGCGTTGGGGCATAATGACCAACCCCAATGCATGCAATCGATACCAAGCATTCCAGGGAATCCATGCTTACCTTCATGCACCGTGTACAATTGGTGGATATCGTTCATAGTTGCTTTGCGCAAATATCGTTGCCCATAAACCAAACAGATCGCTTTGCAGAACTTGTACACACACACTCCCGCACGGTACGCTCTGACATCCTAAAATACTCGTCCCATTTGTCCGCGCCCATGTCGTATGCTAACCGACGAATTGCATCCGTGCATTTTTTAATTGGAGAGAAACATTTTATCCGTCTCGCATCCATTTTCCATTGGAAATATGGAAAGCGGCCTTCCAAATCGCCAACAATACGTAAGAATAGTAACGTCGAAACTTTACAGCATAGATGGCGTCGTCTGCAAAGTAATCTTCTATAAGACGATTGTGTCCGGCTTCACGATTTCTAGTCGGTTTTGAAAGTATGCAATCGTTTTCTCCTAGTCGGTTTAGATCGTGCACGTGATGTTTCTCCTAGTCGGTTTTGAAAGTATGCAATCGTTTTCTCCATGACGGAACCGATAAACTTAGCCTCCTCTAGAGCCGTCGAATCGGATGATGAAGATGATGACATTTTGATTAATATTTTTTGGAGAGAATTATAAGGTATGGGTTAAAAAAATGGTTGAATGTTGTGGTATTTATAGTTTAATAAAAGGAATATATATATATATATATATATATATTAACGGCTATACAGCCGTTTGAATAAAAAAAAAGAAAAAAAATAACAGACCAATAGAATGAAGAGTGAGAACGTGACATCACCACCTCCACCCTCCTTCCCGCGCCTCGTTCCCCGCACCGACGGTGCGGTGTTCCCGCATGCGAGACTCTTCCCGCACCCTTCCCCGCATACCATACCGTCCGATCTTCCATGAGTTAATTTAAAAAAAAAGTTAAATATAAATGTTAAAATATTTGAGAACTTTGAATTTTTAAGAAAATAAAAAACATAATGAATTATTATAATGAAAATGTTTTTTATCTTCTAAATTTAAACAAATAATTTAAATAAAGAAAAAAAAACTAATGAACTTTAATTTTAGGAATTTTGAAATTAAAAGGTAAGTTTATTAATAAAAATCGATATCAATTTATTACTACATTTATTGCACTTGTTATATTAAAATATTATGTAAAATTTAATAAAATAGAAAAACTTATAAAATGACATGTGGAAAAAAATTAATTCAAAATAACAATAAAATAACATTTATCAAATTGAACGAGACTATAACAAATGTCAAACAAAACCTTCATTTATTATAGAGAAAGGACTGATCCAAACACATCATAAAACATTTCAATATCTTCATAAACTAAAAAAACACAAGCTATTTTAAATAAGTGATCCCAAACACCCCTTAACATATTAATAGTTCATAAAATTTAAACAGAAATAGATTAAAAGTGTCGCACATTCGACCAAATTTGATTTAAAAAATGTGAGATAGGCGATACTTTACAATTAACCAAACTCGAGTTTAAGATTGGATTAAGAAGTTTGACTAACCGACAACGTAATAGAATACTTAATCGTTGATTATTTTGGCATAAATATAAGTTTGAGTATTTAAAATCAACTACGTTAGATTCTTTGGTATAAATCTAAGTCGTCAAACGTTCAAACCATAATTAAAAGAATGGCTAATGTCATAAAAACCCTCAAGTTTTCAGGGTTTTGTCGGTTTTGCCAAAAGTTGAATTTTATGTCCGTTTTTATCCTAACATTTTCCAAAAAATGTCCTAACATTTTCCAAAAAATGTTCGGTTTTATCCTTTAGCGGTGATAACAGGTTACCATTATATTAACTGCGCAAAAAAACCCTTAAGTTTATAGTTTTTTTACGTTTTTACCCTTAAGTTTATAATTTTTTTACACTTTTATTCTATGTATTTTTTTTTTCATATTATACGTATTCATGTAGAAAAAACATATTTATATACGAACAAAATTTAATTAAATATTGTATTTATATTTTTTTAATGTTATTTCTTTGTGTGTGTATATATATATATATATATATATATATATGTGTGTGTGTGTGTGTGTGTGTGTGTGTGTGTATGAGTTTTTTTCTTGGATAAACCATTTAAGATATAAAAAAAAAATAATATGTTTTTAGAACTACAAATACGTATTTTTATGTATTTAAAAATAGACATATCAATAAAAAAAACTTGTTCAATCATAAACATGTTTATATAAGTATATACATATATTTTTAGAAGTGTAAATATATATTTTGATATATGTTTTTTTTAAGTATAAATATATTTTTAGAAGTATAGATACATATTAATATATAAAAATATAAAAATATAAAAATATGTATTTATACTTCTAAAAACTATATCTATAAAACACGTATTCATAATTCTAAAAATATTAGTTATCTTTTTAAATGGTATAACCTTGCAAACACACACACACACAAAAACAAATATATATATATATATATATATATATATATATATATATATATATAACATTACAAAAATATAAATACAATATTTAATTAAATATTTTTTCGTATATAAATACGATTTTTCTGCATGAATACGTATATTATGAAAAAAAATATACTTAGGGTAAAAGTGTAAAAAAAAATTATAAACTTAAGGGTAAAAACGTAAAAAAACGGTAAACTTAAGGTTTTTTGCGAATTTAATATAATGGTAACCTTGAAAACCTGTTATCACCGGTAAAATGGTAAAACCGAACATTTTTTCGAAAATGTTAGGATAAAAACGGACATAAAATTCAACTTTAGGCAAAACCGACAAAAACCCTTAAAACTTAAGGGTTTTTATGACATTAACCCTTAAAAGAATGGAATTGTAATATTATTGGATTTAAGTCGATATATTAAATTTCGCTCGTAAAATTAATCAAATTTAATACTATTATGATAAGATGCAAACTTTAACTAATTAAGTAAACTCATAAAACATTATGTTATGATTCGGTTCAAAGATTAATTTATTTTAAAACTCAGTTGATCAATTAATAATATACATATAGTTTATATTTTTTATAATTATACCAAGAAAAAAAAATATATGTCCATATATATTTATAGTTTCATAGATGTATTATTTATGGGTAATCATAATGCCAATTAGAAAATAAATAATATATTTTATATTTAAGTAGCTACGTTAATATGGATATATTTTATTGACAAAATTTCACAATTGGTCCATGTGGTTTTACAGAATATCGTATTTCGAGGACTCCGTAGCAAAAAGTCACGTCACTGGTCCTTATGGTTTCAATTCATTGCGCAATTGGTCTTTGACCCTAACCCAGTCACTTTTGTACTGTTAGTGCAGAGGTATTTTTGTCTTTTCAATATTGCTGATGATGATTTCTTCACCCAACTACAACGAATTGTGTGATATGACTAGGGTTAGGGTTCTTCCTAAATCAATTACCCCATTATTCCCAAAACAAAATCGAGACTTATCAGTGGTTCATCGAATCGTTCCCGATGTTCGCTTCTTGACAACTTTCTTGATTCGAGAGGGAATTCATTTTCTTTTAGCACAAAGTTCCTCCCACCGAAAGAAGAGAATCTTGCTGCTCTTTCAACAAATCCAGGATCTGTCGGGAATGGAGCAAGTGGTAATTGACGATTTCCGAGAACCGGTAAACTCCTGTGAATTTGATGATCCGTTATTGAAAGATTAAGCTTTGGTGGTGAATTTAATGGAGTGTTATAGGACGAATTATTGGTGTTGCTGCTTCTGGTAAACTCTCGTCATCCACTATAGTATTCCGACGATATCAAACATACCGAAAGAAACAAAGATTGTTGAACATACATTCTTCAATAAAAAGAAAAAAGACAAAGAACAGAGATAATTTTCAGGTTTCTACTTTTCTTTATCGGGGTTTTCATTGCTATCAGATTACGATATTTGCTAATCCATCCCGTTATGAATGCACGTGCTTTGCTAGCAAATTTTCTGTTTTCTTCTTTTCATCAATTTCACATATAAGTCGTCATTGTATATGAATTTTTCGTTATTATATTGAGCTTAATTTCGTGAAAGCTTTTCCCCAAATCAAAGGATGATTTTGATCGCCAGTTTCATGCATCAAATTTGAATTTTGATATGCTACTTTGTACGATTCCTTTGAAATTATTAATGGAATTACAAATTGTGTTTCTTGATCTAGATTTTGAACGATGTGTAATCTTTTAGTTTCTGAAGATAATGGGAGTTGGTTTCAAAGCAAGACCTGAATCTGAAGGGCGTCTTTTGTTTCTGAAATTGGGTTACAGTCATGATGTGGAATTGACAGTTCCTCCTGCAGTTCGAGTATTTTGTTTCAAACCCAATATTGTGTGTTGCACTGGAATTGACAAGGAAAGGGTGTATCAGTTTGTTGTTGTTGTTCATAGTTGTAAGCCCCCTGAAGTTTACAAAGGGAAATGTATTATGTATGTTGATGAAGTTATAAAGAAGAAACAGAAAAAGAAATCAAGATAGTTTTACTCGAACTGTAAAAAATTGTAAAAAATTGGAAAAAAAACAGTGTTAAATTTGAGACTTAAGAAAATCACATTGCCAAATTAAAATTTTGGTGTAAATTTAGTGTTTTTGTGTTATTTACCACACTAAGTGGTCAGAATTGTAAAAAATTAGAAAACACAGTGTTAAATTTGAGACTTAAAAAAATCACATTGTCAAATTAAAATTTTGGTGTAAATTTAGTGTCTTTGTGCTATTTACCACACTATTATATTTTTTTTTAATTTTGACATTATTTTTTATTTTAAATCGAAAATCACATTTTCCAATTATATTTAATATTTACCATTTCACCGAGACTCTTTTGATTACCAGGTTGCCATGTTGATTTGGAAAATGTTGATGGCGTTACACGCCGAATGGCATGAAAGTCATTATATTATTATTTTTTTTCAATTTTCACACTCATTTTTTTTAAATCAAACATCTTTAACTCAAACTTTGTAATATCATCTAATCATGATTCAAATCATTATCATCTCCCTTCCTCCCTCCCTCGTCCCCATCCCTTTGTATGTCACACCAACTATCTCTATCACATAATAGATTGGATCCACAACGGATGAGGGAAATTCATTAAGCCTATATCCATAAGAATTTGTAACATCCGAGTCACCATGTATTTTCCTTCGATTTAATTAAGTATAATATATTGTAACTTGGAGAAAGGCAGTACGCTGGGCGTACATAGTGTACGCACGACGTACACGATTGAGGCGTGAAGCGGGGGGAAGCCTTGCGTACGCTGGGCATACCCAAGCGTACGTCGGGCGTAACATGTCCAGTTGCAAACCCTAAATTTTAAGGTTTACACCATATATAAAGACATTAACTCCGTCCCAAACCTCATTCCCTCAGCCTCCACTGTCCCTAAAGAGTAGAAATCGAACCCTAAACCTCTTGCATGCTTTGTGAGCTAATTTGGTGCACTTTTGGGTGATTTTTGGTGGTTTTGAAGAAGAGGAAGTTAGAAGAAGGAGCAAGAACGTGAGAAGGGCTTGTAGATCCAGGAGTTTAGTATCTTTTCTGACTCATTTGAGGTATCAAGCTTCAAACTTGACCATTGCATGATTACTTGTAGTTTTGGGGTGTTTTATGTGACATTTTGACTCCATAGTTGAGATTTCTTGTGTTTTGGTAGTTCCACCCATACAAGCTGTCCTTTTGAGCTCTTGGAAGCATTTAGAGCCATAAAACTCGTGCCTTGATGGTTAAGCCACAACCATGCAAGTGTTCAAGACCAACGTACGTGCCAGGAACGCTGCAGATACGCATGCAGAGCGGTCAAATGAGTATTTGGGCCTTAGGATGTTGGGCCTCATGACCCACTGTGGAGTAAGGCTTCTAGGCCTAGACCTAGGATATATGGTATTGGGCCTTAATGGGACTTGAAACTTAAATGGATGGACTTGGGCCTTAATTTAATTAGTAGTTGGGCCTTGGGAGAATGAGGCCTAATAGGCCAAGGATTAGGAAACCTTGCCTTGGGACATGAATTACAAGTTTGGGCCATAAGGGAGTTCTATTTGGTCCCAATGATTGACTAGGGAATTTATTATGCTTTAGGGAGAGCAGTTACGAGCCAGCCGAGGAGTATGATTTCAGCATACACGGTGAGGTGAGTCTCCCTTCGTAGAAACTGTGGGTCGAAGGCACCAATGTCGGCCCACTATTATTTATATGACTGAGTAATTGTCTTTGTGATAATTATTAAGGTGGTATGTATTGTTTGATGCTTATGTGTGATATACATGATTTATGTGGTAGTGGTAGGGGTGAAATAGACCCTGTAATCGGTTGGAATAAAACCGATAGGTAGGTCGAGCACCTAGGTATGCCTGACAGGGGTAGGTCGGACACCCCGATATGTCTGACATGGGTAGGTTGAGCACCCAGGTATGCTCAGCAGGGTAGGTCGGGCACCCAGATATGCCTGACTATATGTTTATGATTTGTATGTGGTATGGTGGGGGAAACTCACTAAGCTTCGTGCTTACGGTTTTCAGTTTGGTTTCAAGTACTTCCAGCTCGAAGGGGAAAGAGTCGGCTTGATCGCATCGCATCACACCATGATTTTCCGCATTAGTGATTTTGGGATTATGACTCTGATGATGATTTTATATGTATCGTTGGATTGCACAACTAAACTATTTTATGTTTACATGGTTTTGGGATAAACAATATGGTTTATTTTATGATTGATAAACTTAAAAATGAAATTTTTGGGTTGTATTTTTAAGGGTGTTACAAGTTGGTATCAGAGCCTTGGTTTGAGGGATTCAGATACACCTTTGGGGGTGTCTGGACTCAAATCGAGGGTTTGAGAGATTTTTACAAGAAAAATAATTTTTCTAAAATTTAAAATAAGGGTTTTAGATAAAGAACAATGAGTGTGATGCGTGTAATCGGCCGAACTCAAGTAAGTTTTCCCCAAGATACCATACATGTTCGTTATGATATATGTTATGATTATGAGAGTTGCATGCTAGAATAGGGCTAAGGATCTATGAGGGATGCCTTGTATTCCTACTCTATGTGTATGAGAATTGCATGCTAGATTAGGGCTAAGGATCTACGAAGGATGCCTTGTATGCCTATTGTATGTGTATGAGAATTTCATGCTAGATTAGGGCTAAGGATCTAGGAAGGATGCCTTGTATGCCTGCTATATGTGTCTATTGAACTGCATGCTAGTGCTGATTAGTCAGTGATACGATGGACCGATTAGGATATCCTGTGTTTTGATTACTCAATGCTCAAATGCTGCTTGCTTTGTTCTATTAAGAGTTCTAGTTATCTCTAACTAACTAGTAACCGAATACGCTAAGTTACATATTGCGAGGACTAAATAATTTCAGAAGGTTAGGTTTAGCCCTATTGCACAACTCTTGTTTGAGTCCAACCGTTGTAGGGTGAGACGTCTCATTCGAAGAATTATCTGGTCTCAGTAATATGTAATGGTATTCGCGAGCTAGTTAGGGAGAGGTAGCAGGGGCATCTTATGTAGCTGATGACAGAGAGTGGGTCGGAGATTACCCTAGGGTAAGCCTATGATGAGATTAGTGACATGAGTGATCTGATTGCGAATTGTATGTGTGGATAAGGAGCGACTTTGGTGGCCCAATGCAAACCAAGGGGAAAGTACGGATAGATGTGGAAGGTAGTATGGGTCCGTACTACTGAAAGCAGAGGATCCGTACTGGACTCCTAGAGAGCTGCGGGGAACCAGGAGTGGTAGAGTGTGAGGTCTTTCGATGATTATGTATAATCCTGAAAATTGTATGGTTTGTTTCAGAGTGGTGATGACACGTCATGGAGCAGGAGGCTCAAGATCTGGGTCTGATTCGGGTACGAGTTCTGAGCCGATTGATGAGGGATTGCGCGAGTTCATTGCATCCGAGATTACGAGAGGCATTCTTTAGTTGACCCCGGTGATTTTTGGGTTGGTGAAGGAGGGTATCATTGAGCTGATGGAGGATCGCCTTAGGTCATTCAGGAGTGACATGGCACTTGGCCAGTCGGGGACTCGTACGCTCTCCTTCAAGGATTTCAAGGGATGCGGAGCACTAGATTTCTGCAGGGTGAAGGAACCCATTGCAGCCAGACGATCGATAGCGGATATCGAGTATGCTCAGATGACCAACTTCTGCCCTGAGGGGTCAAAGGTCAAGTTTGTCGTGGGATGTTTGAGGGATCGAGCTAGGGACTGGTGGGAGGTGGTCGGTTACGCATTGGGAGGCCCAACCATTGCGACCATGACCTGGCCGGATTTCGTGACCCGATTCTGCGCCGAGTTTGCACCCGCTGTGGAGATTCAGCAGTTAGCCAGAGAGTTCCTGGACATGAGACAGACGACTGAGACTGTGGCAGCGATTACCGCAAAATTCAGGGAGAGGGCTTTATTGGTGCCCCAGTACGCAGCCGATGAGGAGATGAAGAAGACTCGATACCACGATATGCTGAGGCCAGAGATCAGGGAGTTTGTTATTTACTCGGCGTGCCCGACATTGGACGACATGATAGCCAAGGTACGCGAGATGGAGATTGATATGGAGGAAGGCGGAGGCTGGGGAGCTCAGGCTGCTAGATGTGCGGCAAGACCGGACACTTTAGCAAGGATTGTACCGCTCCCGCTCCTACCATTCTAACATCATATCTGATTTGCTTCCATTGCAATCAGAAGGGCCACATGAAGGCCCATTGTCCGAGCTTAGCATCAGGAGCGCCAGTGGTGGCGCCGACTCCAACGACCCTGCGGATCACAGACAGCCGATAGGGCAAGACGGATGCTCCAGTGGTGAGTAGCCAAGCCTTTCAGTTGATCGCCGAGGAGTCGCGAGCCGCACCAGATGTGGTAATGGGTATGTTTCTTTCACTTAACTCTTATTTTACATTATGGCAATACTTACATTTTTATATGTCTTGTTTTAGGATCGTTCCTCGTGAACGATATTCCTGTTTGGGTGTTATTTGACTCGGGGGCCACCCGATCTTTCGTATCTCTTGCGCTCAACAAGAAGTTTACTGAGTCTTTGAGCATGTTAGACAACCCACTAGAGGTGGAGATTGCAGATGAGCGGTCCGTTCAGGCATCGAGGGTTCATCAAGGTTGTGTTTTGAGGATGTACGATGAGTGCTACGCTATCAACTTGCTTCCCATCCCTCTGCGCGGGAACAAAGTCATAGTAGGGATGGATTGGTTGAGCCCCAATGGGGCAGTGATTGATTGTGAGCACCATCTGCTATGAGTGCGGACCCCAAGTGGGGGAGAGTTGGTGGTCCAGGGGGAGAGAGCTCAGTGCGACCCCGTTTTATGTTCATCTTCTAGGGCTAGACGTTATCTCCATCAGGGTTGTTCAGGGTTTGTTGCTTATGTTATGAATACATGGGAACAGGTTAGAGCGGCGACTGATGAGGTACCGGTTATTCGTGAGTACTCGGATGTATTTCCGGAGGATCTAC